CCCCTCCCCGAAAACATTTCTGGGTACGCCACTGGTAGCAAGCTAAGGTAATTAGTTCAATGGTTCGTCATCCACATAGAATTCCTAGTTGTGGGTGTGTCTTTATTCATAGCGCCAGTTATGTGTTCACGCCTACACGAGTAAGTGCCGAAAAAATAATCGTTTTTTCCGGTTTATTTACATTGTTTTCTGTTTTCTATCTTCGTGTTTCTGCGTCGTGGTATTATGCAGTTTCTGCTGAATTTGTGAGGACGAGCCAGTGTGCGTAGACTTCAAGACGTTTTCAGGCCGATGCTGAGGCAATGCCCTAGCAAAAACTCTGATTCATGCCTTGAAATTAACGCATGGACTGGAAGGTTATCTAGTCTAACGAGTTAGCTATTCTCGGGACTTGATCCCTCTATCCTGTTATCCTGCGTTTCAAAACGTTTCCCGATATTTAAATTGGGGAAATATAATTGGGGAGGGGACCACAGCGCACCCGGGGAGTGCCAGCTCAACTGAAGTTTGTACCGCCCTTGCCTTGCCAAGTCTAACGGGTTGGCTATTTTCGGGACTTGATCTCTCATCCTGTTATCGTGCTTCTTAACAAAACATTTCTTGACTAGACTGTAGCAGTATTACATATAAATATGGGGACAGAAAATGAGAAGGGGACCGCCGGTCACTCGGTGGCACAACTCATCTGAAGTTTGTGCCGCCCACGCGGCGACTGTCAAGACGTCTGACAGTCTGCGTCTCGACAAGGTAGGACGTAAGTCTAGACTACGAAGTATCAAAGTCTACTATCTTATATTTAGCACCATTAAATAATAATCCTCTGCGAAGAGACATCTTATGAGTTTTGAAGCCTTTGAAGAGCTGCTCCGCACTAACTAGGTTAAAAAGAAAAATTCGGGCTACATCAGGACTGTATTATTCTGATGTAATCACTAGGCTAATATCTACAAAACCTGTTTCAAGCGCTGACTCGCACAAAATTCAAGTCTCCCATAGTAACACTTTCTCACTTACCTATAACAAAGTATTCGCCAGATCTTGCCACAGGTGCTTCAAATCGAGTGTTGATTTGGGTCTAAATTGTGCAATCGAGACGTCAGCGAGATGATTAGCTTTGGTATTCTCACCCTCCATAAACAACGACCGTCACGAACACGAATACATACAACGAGACCAGAATGTGAGCAGGCAGTCACCACGTCATCACCGGACAATCTACATAGTGTGATGTTGACTGATTGAAACAACTATCGCAGCAACCTTT